CTGTAAGACCGTTTCAGGCTGGACATAAGGAAGAATTTCTTTACTGTCCGAGCCCCCAAGGTCTGGAACAGCGTGGCATCGGAGGTGCTTCAAGCACCTACGTTGAACACCTTTGAGAACAAATTGAATGCTTGGTTGCTGGGATCCTATGACCCCAGCTGATTTCCTGCCCTTCGGGTGGGGGGCTGGACTCGATGATCTTCCGAGGTCCATTCCAGCCCTAATGTCTACGAAATCCATGAAATTATTTAACTTATTTGCAAGTGTGTAGGTGTCTCTCTTCTTCCTCTCTCTACACCTTCTCCTGCCAGAGTTATAGTTTATTAATATCTTGTTGTGGTCAGTGTAGACATCAGAGAGGGATGGAGGAAAGACAAACAAAGATTATGGGGTTGCTCTGGTGTGTGTGTGTGGGGGGGGTATTTTCTTTCTTTTTAACAGAACCGATTAGACTAGCATGGGAAAGGAGGAGATTGTATAGTATTCAGTCTGTCTGACTGACTGTTTAGGTATAGGATTTAGGTATCGGAATGTAGGACAAGGTGCTTGTAGAGAAGAAATTGGAGCATTAGCAGGAAAGGATAGGGCAAGGCTGTGAAAAAAACGTGGAATCAAGGTGGAAGGGAAGTTTGGAATAGTGTTTCCGGCTGTGGCCATTTTAAAGGGACCTATGCCAAACTGCAGAAGTGTGGCTAAGCAGAAGGTTCAAAGCCTGTTTCTGAGTCACCATAGCATGAACCTTTGTAGATCTGACAACTAGCTTGATCAGCAAAATAAGGGAAGCAACATGTCTAACTATATCAGTCATGGGTAGGGATCTGGGTTTTCTGTTTTCTATGGAAAAATGGAAAAAAATGTGGATTTTCCTTTGCAACTGAGAAACACGCAGATTGTCCACATCTGCAAAGAGCTCTCTGCAGGCAGGCAGAGTTCCAGCCTGCAAGGGGCTACGGGGAGTGGGAGAAGGGTGGTCAGGCAGGGGGTGTCATGTGCATGTGTGTGCTCACACATGTACATGGCCTCCAGGCAGCTTGGAGAGCAGCTCCCTCAGGTAAGTCTGGCAGGGAGGTTGGAGGGGATTGAGGCTACTTTAGGGAAGGAGGGAGGGAGTTGGGCAGGGGCTGCTGCCCAGCTGGGCAGTGCGTGGGGTCTGGGGCAGAATGCGTGACCTGAGGGCCCAGGTGGGGAGCGGGATGGGGCCATGGGTGGCTCGTTGGGGGCAGGAGGGTACTGGCTTCCCACCACTGCGTGCACTCCAGGGGAGGGCATGGGGGGCATGTGCCCTCCAGATCTGTGCATGGGGTGGCGGGTGCAGGCTCGGGGTCCCCGTCCTGCTGCCCTCTCTCCAGGGCCTCCACACTCCAGTGGGCGAAACCCCCTATGGCAGGGCAGAGTGGGGCCAGGCGGGGAAGTTTGTTGCTGCTGCTGGGAGCCCTGCGCTGCCCTGGCAAGGTGCCCCCTGCCCACCCAGCAGCAGCAAGGGTGATAGCACAGAGTTGTGGAGATAAAAAATCCTCCTAAGGATATAAATCCCAACTAATTGACACCTTCCAAGTCCACAAGAGATCTGGTTTCATCCAGTTTCAAAAGTTTCAATGAAACCAAGATATTTAAAAGCAATCAGAGGTCATTTACTAGAATAGTAGAATATAAATATTGGGTATAGTCTGTAGGGAAATTTGGAGAACTCAGCAAATTCAAGAAGACATGCTGGCAATCTGCATGCCACCCTCTTCCCACCTCTTGAGTCTCCCCAGCCTGTAGAGATGAGAATCTGTGCTGTGCAGCCATGGGTAGCCAGATAGACTTCGGGAAGAATGTTTTTTTTTGTGTTTTTGAAATGCAAGCAAATAAAATGTCAGGCTGTAGACCTGTTTCTGGCTCTCTTACCAGTAGCTAACCTGCAAGGTTACCTGCAGTCTGGGTAACAGTGGTCAAGAGTGTGACTTTTTTGTATCTGTCCTTCAGATAAGGATGAATCTCTTTTGCATTGCAGCATTGTAGCTCAGGTGTACAATCCCAGGATCCAAGTTCAGCCTTTATCAGGCAGTTTTCTTTGGAGAACTGTTAAAAATTTGTGCTATAAATGGACCTAATGGACTAATGAAATGATGAGATTCCAGTAGTTGTAGGGAAGTATTTTTATTTTCTTGTGCTGCAAAGTGGAAAATATGGTGTAGAACAGGAGTCGGTGGCATTTTGAAGCCTTTGTATGGAGGGGAGGGTGTTTTAATAAAGCATTACTCTGAGTTGAGGCCACTTGCATCCCCGCATGCATTGCTATATCCCAGCCTCCCCTCCCCCACACTTCAGTGCTGCAGACTGCCCCCCCCCACCCCGCCCCTTACTCAGCAGGTCGTAGGTTGTCAACCGCTGCTGTAGAAGATGCTGTGCTTGCTTTATTGGATGGATAATCTTTTTGAATCTTGTTTTTGCTGGTATAGTGCCCGATTCTTATGTTAGTGATGCACTGTCAGCTCTAGATCTACTCAAATTATCAATTTTGGGAAATAAATACTCCTGCTTGAGAGAGAGAATTAAAATCTTATAGGAATGTTTGTAGTTAACTCTCTTAATTAAAAGGCTGTGATTGGCAAAATGTACATTGGTTTCTGCTCTTATATGTACATTTACCATTATTTTGTTTTAGGCTCATCCAAAAGTGTGCGAAAAGCTTAAAGCTTTAATGGTGGAATGGTCAGAAGAATTTCAAAAGGATCCTCAATTTAGCTTAATAGCCGCAACTATTAAATCTCTTAAAGAAGAGGGAATAACTTTTCCTGCAGCTGGTTCTCAGGTAATGCACAGATTCAGTCCTGATTGAGAGCTGGCAGAAATACCTTTGTTCATGCTAGATTGTTAGCAATGTGTTTTATATTTTGTATGTGTGGGTAAGATTCTGACAAATGTATCAGATAAGGTATTTTGTTAATATTTAGAGGTGCAGGCTGTGAAACTAGTATAATTTTTTCATTGTGGGGGTTTTTTTTTTGTTTTTCTGTTTTTCTTTCCCCTTCCTTTCTTTCACACAGAATATAGGCAGGGATTTTGGAGTGTTGCATACCAGTGATATGGGAACTGGAGAGCACATGTCTGACCATCCTAGACCCAGCTGTAATGTGTTTTAGTTTTTTTGAGATGGCAGTAGCTTGAATTTAAATGCCCTGCCTGTTGTGTGTCTTCGCACAAGCACTTGTAGGTGTTTGAATGGGAGTAATGGGGACAAGGTAAATACCCCACTCATTAACTAATTCAAGGTTGTTCATCTTTGGAGCGGCTGGGAAGCCATGTGTTGCATGACTCCCCTCCTTGTCGCATGGCCTTGAAGTTTAAAAAAAAAAAAAAGACACACAAAAGATGTACAGCAGAAGATTTAAAATTGTAGAGCTTTTTGACCGAACATACACTGTTAAACCAGGCAACCAAATATATGTTGTGTCAACTGATTGCAATTTTACATTTTTGTCTGGACGTATCCTCATTTCCATTTACTTCGTGAGGTTTGTTAACTTTTTGATGTATTTGGAAAATAATATTTTTGTTTAAGGGATTAAGACCAGCATAATTTCTAGTGTCTAAAACTGAGTGGTGTCTTTCTGGTATCCCAAGATCCCTTACCCTGTTCTGATGTCTGAAAGCTCCAAGAAAGTATCCCCTGGTGTTGCAGAGATTGCTTGCTCTGTTTCCTTTTAGCTTTTAAAGGTAGCAGGCAACTTTGTCCCTCACCTCCATTCTCCACACAGGTAGAGGTAGGGAGTGGCTCTGCTTCCTTTGGTCCAGTTCTGAGCCATACTCCAGCTCCTGCTTAATGCGACTGGTGACCTTTGCTGTTGCTGTACGTGGAGAGTGTGTCCTTGCAGTGGGAGAGGTTGAAGGATACTTTGAGAGAAAGGTGGACTAACTTCATCTGAGTCTACAGAACTACTCTTCTCTTTTTGGATGGGTGGGGAGAATCTGGGGATGGGGATAAAGGGCAGTGGTTGGAAGAATAGTAATAAAATGAGACCCCATTTTGATTCTCCTGCCTCTTCTTGAAGTAAATAAAGTGTAGTTTCTGTATTAAGTGAAGAGGCCCATATTGAAACATCTATTCAGGAGTTTCTGTGACCAAAGAGGCCAAGTGGGCTGATTCTAGCCTGCCGTCCCTGTGGAGAACACTTTGGGAGGCTCTGTGCGAGTGTGCGTTACTGTAAATGGTTTCACAAATAGGACATCCTACATCCTACTTGGGAGAGGTGGCAGTCTGGGTCTGGCTGCAGGGTGTGAGACTGCTCCCTGATAGATTCCTCATGATATTACATTTTAATTTTGTTGTGCGAGTATTAGTTCCTGGATCAATACTATAGTTTTGCAACAGTTTTTTGTTGCAGGTATGGCTGACTGTTCCTGAAGAGAGAGAGTGAGGGTCTGAGAGTGGAAGAGGGTAGTCCTAGGGAGGACAAAAGGTGGGGGAGAGAGTAGTCCCAGGGAGGACAAGGTGGAGAGAAAAGAGCGCAATCCCAGGGAGGGCAGAAGGAACTTCAGTGGCAAAATATAGAGCATTTTTGAAACTGAGAAGCCTGCTGTGGTGGGAATGTGACATTCTGACCCTGCCCCCTCCCAAAAACCCAAGGTAGGGGTGCTATGGACTGCCAGAGAAAGCAGGAAGAAAAGACCCAGGGTCTCAGTCAGAGGCTTGCCCCTTGTGAAGCCATCCTAGAGCTGGTGTCAGGGGGTCCTTCAGGAGGGGGAGACTGAACAAGATTGCTTCTTGGGGAGTCCTGAGGCAGTGCTTCCCCTAAAAGGAGCATGATCTGCGAGGACAAAATGAATAAATCTTTGTGCCAATATGTTTGCAGACTGTTCCAAGCGTTGCCAAGAATGGTGCATCATCATCAAGCAAAAACAAAGAAGATGAAGATATAGCCAAAGGTAAATTGTTAATCACTGTCTTGGTCAGAAATACTTGTAAGTATATTCTATACGTGCTCTCACACATTTTGTTGTTTAAAATGTCAGGCACCCTTTTTGTTGTTTAACTGTACAATTAAAAATGGTAAGAAGTTAGTGATAAGGGAAGCCATATATACTGGTGGTGGTGATTGTTTCAGGCTTTGAACGGAGGTGGTGCTAAGAGGTATTACATTCTTTTGCAGCCACTGGTGTGGCATGGATGATTTCTACTGTTCTTCTTATACAGCTCTTGATCTAGTCTCTTCTGACCCCTTTGCTGTCTCTTTCATCTCATTTCACTGCTTAAAAAGTTTAGATTTTAAAACATACCCTCTCAGATTGAGTACAGTTACCTTCATTTGGATGTCACATTTAAGAATTTTTATACAGGATTTCTGATGATATCAGTAACACTGTTAATCTTGGCATGAAAGCTATCTTTAAATAGTGGTCTGAAATCCAGAAAATAATAAATATTTTTATTAGTAAAATGTATGTATAGGCAGTGCAGTCCTCAGACTTGCTATGCAATTGGTTCCTGAAAACCCCATCTTAAGTTGAAATGCTGTAACTCGGAACCAATTTTCCCATAAGAACAATGTTATAAAAAGGGTGATTGGTTCCTTTACGATGCTTAATACAGCTGCATCCAGCTGGTAAGTCTGTTGTGGTGGAAGGAGAGGGAAGGGACATGGGGAGGGGGGCAGATCAACACCCCCACAGTGAAGGAGGGATTGGGGCTGGGATAGGGGTTGGGGCAAGCACTGCACAGCTGGGGTGGCGGGGG